CTCTACTCCAAGGGAGAAACTCCCGTTCGTGTTTCACCTGAAAGCCTCAAGAAAAAGCCACCTCCAGCTCCCTGTGGGTTAATCCCAGAATCCCAAAGGATGCAGCCAATAGCTCCTTCCCTATTTAAACACAGTCTGAATTGGGTATTAACTACCTGCTGTGTTTGGCAGCTCTCTCATTCCTAAAATAAATAACTGTACCAAAAGTCATAAACTCCATATTGGGCTTTTTCATTAAAAAAAAAAAAAAATCTCCCAAAAAATCAAAGCACTGTCAGGATTTGAGCAGCCTCACTTCTTGCAGTAAATCTGCTTCCACAGCTGTTCTTGCTGTACCATGTCCTTCAGCCAAGAGTAGCTGCAGTCCAACATTTCCTTCTTAAGTTATTCCTTACCCAGAGCGAAGCCAAGGGAATTTTGGATGGGGCTCGCCTGCTCAAAATTATGAATGTGCTCTTATTAGAGCAGGTTGCATGTTTTCTATTAAATATTCATTCAAATAACAATCCAGCAAAATGTTTGTCAGGATGAGAGTTCCTTGGGCTGAAAGGACGCATTTTTCTTCCAGTCTCCAGCAGAACTCAGYCACATTGATCCCRTCCAGGATCTGAGGGCATTAATGAAGATCTTGCTTGAACTTGGTTGAGCTCCATCCCTGCTGCCAGATCCTGTTCTCCTGTTTCAGAGTTGCACCAGTTCAGGGATTGCTTGGTTCTCACCAGGGAGAAGCCATTTACAGGTTCCACTGCTGCTCAGAAAATGGGGGGGAAAAGAAAAAAAAAGGGGGGGAAAAAAGAGGGGGAAAAAGAGGAAAGTAGCATTTTCTCCTCCTGCCTCTTAAAAACCTGCCCCTGTTGAGCTGTGAGCCACAKAATGTCTCGTAAAGTGGTTTGATTTCATGGAATCATGGAATGGTTGGCTTGGAAGGATCCTGAAGGATAATTTAATTCCAACCTCTGCCATGGCAGGGACACCTCCCACTGTCCCAGGCTGCTCCCAGCCCCAATGTCCAGCCTGRCCTTGGGCACTCAAAGGGATCCAGGGGCAGCCACAGCTTCTCTGGGCACCCTGTGCCAGGGCTGCCCACCCTCCCAGGGAACAATTCCTGCCCRATATCCCATCTGACCCTGTCCCCCCTCAGTTGAAGGCCATTCCCCTTTTCCTGTCCCTCCATCCCCTGTGGAAAATCCCTCTCCAAGTGAAATCACGAAAGAAATTTTCCTCTAAACCCGGAGAACTTCAGAGTTCCTGCAGAACTCCACACCTTCCTTGTTCTGAGCTCCAGCCCCGCTCCAGGAGCTGCCTCAACGAACCAAACTAAAGATCAGCAATGTTGCCATCGTGTGGCTGCTCCCAGCAAAGGCTCGGCCACGAGTGAATATTTTAATCTACAGAAAACAAATTGCACCTGGATCCTGCTGCTGAACATCACAGACAATATTTAAAGTTCTTACTATTACAGGATGTAATTAGAGTAATTGTTTTTATAGCAAGAACGTGTGCACAATAGAAAAGGCGATCCCACCTCTTCCGTGGGCCCCTTACCCTCAGGGATTTATAGATCATATTTAAAACTCACTCCAAAATTAATCTGGAGTTATCCAAATAGAAATTACAGAAGTGAAAATCCCCTCTTCCTGCAGAAACAAGAAGAAAGAACAAAAGGACAAGGGATCAGTTTCAATATCCTTCATTTTTCACACTGCTTGAAAGTGAAATTTTAATGTTCCAACACATGAATTGCTTTGCCCTATGGCTGCTATAACAATTTGTGATTTTCAGCGATTTTATTATATTTTTTCATATAATTCCTTCTCACAATATCACATCCAGCTCTCCTACACTGACAAGAAAAAAATCCAAGGAAAGCAACTCCCACAGCTCACATCAGAAAAGTTGTGGCAAGCCCTGGATCCCTGGCAGTGCCCAAGGCTGGGAGCAGCCTGGGAGAGTGGGAGTGTCCCTGCCATGGCAGGGGTGGCACTGGGTGATCTTTAAGGTCCTTTCCAACCCAAATCATCCTGGCAATCTTAAATTCCTTCAGAAAATTGTTTCCCTCCTGGGAAGCTGAGAGTGGACAGCAACAATGGTGAATTTACCACCCACCTGCTCCAGGAGCAAACATAYCCCAGGGGTTGACAAAGCCCTCCAATTTTGCTTGTGGAAAACACCACCAGGTCACAAAGTGCATTTTTTTACACCACAGAGGTTTCTCCATTCCAAGCAATAACTGCCATGGACAATAACCCATCTTTTCCTGCACTGTCTACTTGGAATTACATCTTTTATTCAGTAAAATATTCCGGCAGGAGCCTGTGTGGGCCATTCCTGCTGATCCAAGGAACACTGATTTGAGCTATTCCTGCTCATCCATAGAACACTGATTTGGCTGCTCCTGGCTGTCAATTTTGCCTTTTTAAAATAATCCATCCCACAGCAGAGCAGCAGCTTTTTTATGGATTTAAAATTTGAAATATTGGAGCACACAGCCAACACCTTCTCTCCCTTCTCCTCACAGAGTAAATTGCCACCTTCTTCCCTGCCCTGTTATTTATTTCTGAGTACATCCAGCTGCTGCAACTCCACCAGTGCCAGGAAAAGGGAAAACAAAAACATCCACAGGCTCCTGCAGCTCCTGGYTTCGAGCTTATTTATTTCCTAAAGGAGAGAAATTTATCCTGAGACAAAACCTGCCATTATTTAGCATCAAAATTTATGGTGCTTAAAACTCAAATCAGGAGGAGGAAAAACGCACAGAGAAATAAATCCCTTCAAAATGAAACTTTCCTGGTGAAACTCTCAGTGAGGAAAACATTTTAAGGGGGAAATGCAAAGAATTGGAGCGCAACCAGGAAGATTTGGGGAGTTAAACACCAKTCAACCCTGCCAGAAAAGATGGCAACACGTTCAGAGACACAAACAGGTTCCTCTCCTTGTAGGAGCACCAGGATCAGGTTTTCCCAGCCACTGGAAGAGCCCCAGTTTATGCCCAGTTTCCAGACAGAAAGCAATCTGGGACCTTTTTTAATTCTTCATGCTCGGAGAGGCAAATCCTCTCGGGCTACAGATGTGGGAGGCCTCGGGGCTGAAAAATCCTGGGATTTTTCATCTGAGGGAAGAAGGAGCTGGATCCTCAGCAATATCCCTCGGCTGGAAGTGGCAACATTTGGCAACCCCAGGARGGAAAACCACTCCCAGTTTGCCCATTCCAGCTTTCCTGGTGGTGCTGGAGCACCTCAGGGACACTCCAACATGATGAAAATAAACGGGAAAGCTTTCCCAGCAGAAAAGGGAAGGAGCAGCAGCCTCAGCACCCCCAGCCCCATTTCTCCATAGCTCTGCCAGCTCCCCTTCCTGGGATGAAATGGCAGCATCCCAAAATCCCACACCTGAGGAATAACAGAGCTGCTGTGTGAGGCTCAGGGCTGCTCAGGGACAGGGATAATTGGGACCAAATGTGGGGATTGTGCTTTGGAGTTTATTGGCAGCACCGCCAAGTGAGGGCTGAGATCTCCCAGGCAGGAAGGTCTGGAACAATCAAGGAAAAATACCTGGGAAGTACAGAGGGGTTTGGGATGGGAGAGACCTTAAAAATTGTCCAATCCCCCCCTTGTCATGGGCAGGGACATCTTTCACTGTCTCAGGTAGCTCCAATCAGGCCTTGGGCACTCAAAGGGATCCAGGGGCAGCCACAGCTTCTCTGGGCACCCTGTGCCAGGGCCTGCCCACCCTCCCAGGGAACAATTCCTGCCCAATATCCCATCTAAACCTCTCTCTGTCRTTTTGAAGCCATTCCCTGTCCCTCCATCCCTTGGGAAAAATCCCTCTCCATCTTTCTTGTGACTCCTTCAAGCTCTGGAAGAGTCTCTTGCACCTTGAATTCTCTTCCCCTGGTGGACTTTTCTCCAAAGCCCCAAATCCACATCACTCTCTCCATTTTCACTGCCAAGACCTCAGCGGGCTGTTCCYACAGGTTCTGCTGGATACCCAATCCTGGAACAGGAGTCACCTCAGCCCTGGAGCATCCAGAGCCATTCCTGGCAGGATCTGCAGCTCCAGTTCCTGCTGGAAAAGCCTTGGATTCACTGATGGAGAAGGAGAGGTCGGGCTCTGTTCATCCCATGACTGAAATCACCCTGTGGTGTTTTCCCATAGGCTGACTTTGATATGATTTCTGCTTTTATAAAGTGTATACAGTGTTGTAATACATATAATACAGTAATATAATATATATAATACAATAAAATCATTATAATATATTATGTAGAAATTATAATAATTATAATAACAGTAATTATAATTATTTAAATAATAATATAATACAGTAATATAATAATAGATAACATAATACAATATAGCAATATAAAGTATTAAATGCTAAAAAAAACTATAGAGTAGCATTATAATATAATATTGTATAGAAATAATTATAATTATAATTATGTTGTATAAATAATTATAATTGTATAAGTATTAATATAGTAATATAATATGGTAATATGATAATATCTAATATAATCCTATAGTAATACAAAGTATTAAATGCTAAAAAGAAATGTTCTATAATAATTGATACTATAATATTATAATATCTTATATAGAAATTATCATTATAGTTGTATAAATAATCATATAAATAATAATATAGTAATAAAATACAGTAATATAATATCTAATATCACATAATCTAATAATATAAAGTATTAATTGCTAAAATAAAATACAATATAGTATTATACATATTATAATATATTGTATATAAATAATTCTAATTATATAATTACACACTAATAAAACATAGTAACATAATATCTAATATAATATAGTAATACAAAGTATTAAATGTTAAAAAGAAATATTAAAAAGAAATACAATATAGTAATATACATTATACATATTGTATAGAAATTATAATTTTAATAGTATAATTATACAAATTATAATATAATACAGTAATATAATAATATATAATATAGTAATATAAAGTATTAAATGCTAAAGAGAAGTATAAGGTTTCAAAGTTTCCCATCCACTGGATTGTATGTTACTGGCTGAGGGAGTTAAACTGGGGAAAAAAGAGGAGATTTCAGTGCACACACTCAAAACTCGCTCCTGTAGAACCCTGTTTGCTTCTTCTCCAGTGGGAAGGGAGCCAGAAATAATCACTTGGTAGAACACAGAAAGTGAAGTGATGGAAAATGTCCTGAAGGTAGAAGTCTGGAATAGAGGGGAAGTTCTGCTCGGTTTGATTTGCTTTAGGGAACGCTGGCACCTGCTGGCAGGAGAGAATCTCGGAGCTTTATGGCAAAACAAAAAAGAGCCTTCCCATTCCAGAGGGAAAAAAATCCCACAAAAAACTCCCAACTAAAACCCGACTTGGAAAATGAGGTGATCTTGGGTGAGAAGAATCATCACTGGCTGAGTCCTGCACAGGAATTCCCAAGGGTACCAAACTCCCTCTCAGCTTCCCAAWCGCCACTTTCTTCTTCTCAAGTCTCTCTACACCCAGATCAAATTCATTATACTTCATTATATTTTAAATATAAATATTATATGTAATATATAATATATGATTAATTATAATAGAAATAATTAATTGTCACTTTACCTCTCCCAGTCACATCCATCCTCCTCCTTTCCAGTAATTCAGGCCCTGTCCCACTCCCACATGGCAATTGAAAATCAGGAGCTCCCAGTGGGCAGGAGCATCTCACATCTGCCTGACTTTCACCATTTCCATTTTTCAGTGCACAGGGAGCACTCAGAGATTTGGGACTGCCAAAAATTGTCCCTCCAGGGCTGTGTCCAGTTTAAATTGGGTATCAAGAAAAATTTCTTCCTGGAAAGGGATGTCAAACAGTGGAAGAGGCTGTCCCGGGAGGGYGGATTCACATCCCTCCTCTCATTTAATTCCTGACACTGTTTGTCATCACATAAATAACTCCAATCTTCTTCAGGATCCTGCAACTTCCAGAGCAGAAAASACAAACACAACAAAATTCCTTCAAAAGTCTGTTTTTCTTGCTTAATTTTATGGTCTTTATGCTCTTTATTTGATAACAAAGTTCATATAAACATTGGGAATGTGCACACAAAGTACAGTCTCTTTTGAATCCATGGGCAAGGATCAAGCACATTTTGACCAAAAGGCAGTGGTTAATTAATGACAAGATATTATTAATACAGACAGCTGGATGGGTGCAAAATTAAATCAAAAGCACAGGAACACAAGGTCTGGCTGTATAAAAATTGAACATTATTACATAGCAGGAAGTCTTTCCAGGACCAAGACAACCCTGAGTCCTCACCCAGCTAAAAAGTTAGGAAATCTGTTGGAAACCCATCTAAAAAAATTGCAAAATCTATTTGGTGCAGCTGCCTCTAAATCCATATGGAACAAGGCCTGCTCAGTTCACTGGCTCCCAGAAATATCTGGATTTTAAGGTGGGATGTCCGCGTGGTTTTTGGTGAGGAGCAAGAGATCCTCATGATTTTAATGAGCAGAAACTCAACCACGGAAAAGTGGGTTTTGGGTGAGAGTTTGCACTGGAAATGATTCATAAGGCTTCCCTATCCCTCTCCTTACCTCTCCAAAGACCTTTTCCAACAGAAATGATGCTCCAGACATCCATGGAAAAGCTGGAGATKCCTGTGGCATTTCAGGATTATCATTTGCATCTCCCAACAGAGAAATGCTCTCAATGTATGGACTAATTTTCCTCAGTCAACTATAAAACAGAATTCCTAAGAAAAGCAAATCYTGCTTTCCTAGATGGAACAGAAACAATTTTCTTTTGAGAACGCATAAATRAAAAAAAAGAATAAAGAATTAGGAYATAAAGATCATCCTTCAAAAGATCTACRTAAAAGCCAGAGAAATAAATGTAAGAATGAAGTTTTTATAACTCTTCACTAGAAAAAAAAMCAGGTTTAATTAAATCTAATGAAGATCCATCCTCAGCACAGTGAGAAAACGAAGATCCCATCAAGTTCCCTACAACTTTTTGCTTATTAATTATAGCTGAAATTTAATTGTAGGCAACAGAGTTCATTTGCCTGAAAGACTGACAGAGGTGTTTGTTAATATTTCCTCCCTGGGAGACTTCTATGAGTCACTTCTGGAACATTTGTATTTCTSCTTTTAAAAAGTATTAAATGCTGAAAAGAAATTTAATGTTTAGAAATTTCCCCATCCACTGGATTGTATTTCATTGGCCAAGGGAGTTAAGCTGGGGAGAAAAGGGGAAATTTCAGTGGACACACTCAAATCCTGCTGCCTCAGGAAAATATCACACCTGCATTTCTTTTCTTAGAAAATTTACAGAAATTACACAAGTAAAAACTTTCTGCTGTTTAATTCTTGTAACAGGTTTTCAGAGGTTTCTTCCTTTTGCTTTCTTGTTTCTTGCACTTAAATCTTTCCATTTCTGTTTCAGAATTCAGAGTGAATCAGCTCCACTCCACAGGTACTGGGGAGCATTATTTCACACAYTGCTAAAGAAATGAACCAAACTGCTGCAATGACACAATTTCCCCTTTTTTTTTTAGCGCATAAAGCACATCAAATCTTATGAATGCATTCGATTCTTTTCACCAGACAGGTTACTGGAAGACATAATGCTTTATAAACATGGACTTAGGAACTCTGATGGAGACTCCCAGGTTAATGGATGGTTCTTTAATCCCCAGATTTCCCAGATTTCCTTATTCTTGAAGTCACTTCCCAACTATTTCTTCTACTGCAGAACCACGTTCCCAAAACCTGTATCTTCCACTGGCAGGTTCTTCCCATTTCTACATCAAACATGCACAGAGAACTTGAATTGGGAATTGAGGATTAAACTTTTGCACAAAGAAATGCATTCAGGTATTGCTGCTGTGACTTTGGATGGTGAGGAATCTGCTCAGCCCTTATTTGTTGGAATCACAGCTGGTTTGGTCTCCAGCAGCTGCAGGAAGAGACAATTCCTCAGTCCTGGGACGTTTTGGTGCTGGGGGATTTTGGAGGCTCTCATCAGATGGCCTCTCTGAAAGAAGCAGACAGGAAAATAATTTAAAATTATTAAATCCACATTTTAAAAAGTAAATTTRTTTGCTGAGTCCACAAACAATTCAACATTCACTCAAAAAAAACCAAAAAAAAACCCAAATAAACCAGCCCTGGCTTGTGAGAGTCCAGCACCTGCAACAAGGATCTGCTGGAAGTGCAGGAGACTTCCAAACCTAGGAACCTCACATCCATGAATTCATCCTGGGTTTCACTGCTATAAAAACTGTAGGGACAGCAACACAAGCAGCTGCCCCAGAGCAGTGAGAAAACATTTCATAATGCCAAAAGCACCTTTTAAACACACCAAGACAATGAAGAAGCTTTCAGAATTTGAAACCAGAGTGAGGATTTTTTAATAACATAAATCAACAGTGGAAAAAAATGACTGGGAAAAGACTTGGCTGGATATGAAGAGCCACAAAATCTTACCAGGTTCCTGTTCTGAGGAAGGAGGGACAGGAACTGGGTCTGGATATGCAGAGGTTGGGGTATCTGGCTTCAAGGAAATCAAGTTTACTCTCCTTGGAAAGAGCAGAAACAGCATAATTGCTTTACAGACATAATTCCCATTAGTATTTTACTTAAAAATTTAACTCATATAGAATCAATTGAATGCAAAGGTACTTCAGATATATTTAACTGCACGTTTTTCCTTCCTTTTATAAGCTGAATGGAGCCACTATCCACTTCCAACCCCCTCTGCCATGGGCAGGGCCACCTTCCACCAGACCAGGRTGCCCAGAGCTCCAACATAATCAATACCTGGATTAAAGACAATTTCTAAAAACCAGATTTTCACTTAAAACATTGACTAAGTTACTGCCTAAGTCACACACTGAGGACCAGTCCACACTTGCACTCTTCACTTCTTAAAATATTCTTTGGCAGAAGGGCCTTTAAATAGTTCTTGGCAGCTGAAGGCTTCAGGTACCATTTTCRTAAAGAAAACAGGACCCRAAGACAGAATCACAGAAYATTTTGAGCTGGAAGGGACCCACAAGGGTCAAAATCCAACTCTTGGCCAAAACAGACACCTTTTGTTGTGAGGAATCAGGTGAATTTGCTGCCTCACATTTCAGCAGAAAACTAAAAGCTACACATTTAGGAGACACTCTGACCTCTCTTGTGCACTACAGCAAAAAAAACTCCACATCAAGACAGCTCCGACCAAGAGCCAGGGCTGGGAATTTCTGTGCAAATCTCAGCCTTTTTAATGTAGTTTGTCTTGGCCCCTGCGTTTATGACTGGAAGTGGCACCATAAATCTCACCTGGGTGTCTTGAAACAGGACTGTAAAGTGGTGAGGGTGATCCTCCTGGGCTGGGGGGTTTTGCTGCTCTGGCTGCCTGCCTGGGTGTTTTTCCTCTCCTCTGAGGATGCCACTGGGATGGTTTTGATGCCCACAGGTGTGGAAGGCAGCTCCTTGCCAGCAGTGCTGGGGGTTCGAGGTTGGAGGGTGGGATCCCTGCTGGGAGGGGTCCCCTCTGCCAGCCTGGAGCCCGGGGAAATGGTTTTGTGGGGCTGGCTCTTCTTGGCTTTCTTGTCTGCTGCACCAGGAGTCCTGACATTTATCTGGGGCTTTTCCTTCAGGGGCACTCCCAGCTCGTCCTTCTCGAAGGTGACGAACGAGCAGTACCCATCCGTGGAGGAAATGGCCAGGAAGGATCCGTCACTGGACCTATTTGGGATTAATTTTTTTGCATTAAAGGCCAGGGATTTTTCTTCACCCCTCACCTAAGTGATTAAGATCGTAATTCTGTAATTCACAGGGCATAAAGGGGTGGATTGCTGCTCAGATACTGGTGAGTGACCACATACGTATCATAAATGAAACATAAACCCYAAGCAAGGCTCAAGGTGCTGCACAGAACCTGGACATGGAAAAAGGACATTTTCCCCACAGAAAATCTTGGGAATACATTTTCTTACCATGAAATGTCACTCAGGGTGTGGTAATGGATGTTGGAAACGTAACCAAAGGGGAAGGACTGCTCAGTGTCATAAAAAAGCACAGAGTCTTCAGAAGCAACAGCAAACACCAATCGGTATGGCAGGTTAAACAGGGCAGGGCAAGATTTGGGGCTGATTTCATCTGCAAGAAAAGAACACAGTGAGAATTCTCTCGCATTTACTGCAAGATAGTGACCCAATAATTTAAATAAAATTACATCATCAAGTATCAAGATAAACACTGAGAAGACAGTGCTTGKGTAAAATTTCACACTTCTGTTGTCTGAAATTTACTCTTTATTTTCCTAATTGAACAGAAATTGACAGCTTTGTCCTTCTTGATTGTTACTGTTTTGTTTTATAAATTTTTCCCTGTATTTTCCAGCTGAAATTTTTCAGCATCTTTATATGAACTTTAATATTAAAGTTTCCTTTTAGAGGAGCTACAGAGACCAACTGCACACACTCATCTCCTTCCCTTGCAACACAATGGATTTAAGATGATGAGGAAAATTCAACAGGTAAATCTTGTAAGGAAGACTACAAATTTAACCTCTAAGAAAGGAGCCAAGCTCTGCCTGTCTTAYTAAAATAAAAACACTCCTGGACCCMCAAGAAGGCTGGATTTCAATCCCCAGATAAATTCTTGTGTWACTTCACACAATCCTGTCCCCAGCYCAGAATTCCTGTTCTGCCCAGTAACACCAGCGCTGCTTCCTTGAATAAACACCAGTGGTTGTTGCAAACTATTCCAACTGCCTGTGATGTGGGCAGCTGAGACCTACAGGAATTATTTCACTGGACTGAAAACCTGGTGCTAAACCAGGTTATTTATTTTGAACACAAAATGGTTAACAGTTAAAGACAAATATTCAACAGTGTTTCTGCAGCCTGAGAGGCCAAGGAACAACATCAATCCACTCTATCAAAAGCCACTCCTGAGGGACTTAAGGTGAGCTCAGGGTCTCAGAACAAGGAAACGACTTCTAAGATGTGGTACAACACTGTCTTAGAGGAATGGTAAAGGGCTGGGGTATAAAACAGTCAACAGCCCCATATTTTCCCAGATTTTCTGGGAGTTCCCACCCCCTGACGGTCTCCCAGTACCTTTAGCAGATGCTCCTCTCAGCTCAAAGTACACAGGGCAGCAGCGGACAGCCAAAGTTCCCTTGCCAGGACAGGGCAGGTGACCCACAGGCCTTCAGAGAGAATCAGCAGTTAAGGAAACAGACTTCACTCTTTTAAAAATTTTTTTAATAAAAACATTTCTATCTCACTAAATCCTACCTTTTAAGATTGTTTCTGGAGAAAACATAGGTGGTGTTTGTAACGTTCTCTCCTGATTCCACACAGCCAGCTGCAAAAACAAGGGTGCCAACATCATTCACCACCTCAGAGAGCTCCTGAGCACACACCTTGTGTCCATAAACATTCTAATTCCCGGGAATTAGGCTTGCCCATAAACATTCTAATTCCCAGGAATTAGGCCTGTCAGTTGGGCAAAAGCTGTGCAACCCAAATACAACTTAAAAAGGCATCCTAAATATTTATTTAGTGCTGGTTTTGTTTCCCTTATGCACTTCTCTCCTCAAAGCTGCTTTTTGATGTTGCCAGACATCAATAAAAGCAGTGCTTGGACAGGCACACACTGATCCCCTCCTTGCAGGGTTGCTTTTACTGGGAATGCAGAATGTTCTTAGGGAAGGACCCAAACAAAGAGAGATCAATCAAAAGAAACCACTCATAATCCTTCATTTCTGTTTTAACAGAGTTCTGGTGTTGCAATTTGATTAGAAAAATGCCATAAATATAATTTTTAATCACAGGAGAAAGTTGTTGGATTGTTAATGAAGAGTATTGTGGAGTATTGTCAATATTGAGAATATTGAGTATTTGAGAATATTGAGAATATTGTGTATTCTCCCTATAATTAGGAGAAGGAGGAATGGGATAACTAGGATAAATCAGCCTCCCTGAGCACTTTGAAATACTAAAGAACATTCGAACTAGAATATAATAGAGATTGAGGGAGCTGGGGGGCTCAGCCTGGAAGAAAGGAGGCTCCAGGGGGACCTCAATGCTCTCCACAACTCCCTGACAGTAGGGGGCAGCCGGGGGGGTCGGGCTCTGCTCCCAGGGGAGGCTCAGGGTGGACACCAGGAGGAATTTGCCCATGGAAAGGGTGCTCAGGCCTTGGCAGGGGCTGCCCAGGGAGCTTTGGAGTCCCCATCCCTGGAGGTGTCCCAGGAAGGGCTGGARGTGGCACTGAGTGCTCTGGGCTGGGGACAAGGTGGGGAYTGCTCACCACCTTGGAGCTCTTTTCCAACCTCAGTGACACAACCCAAACTGCAGGAGATGTTCCCATACCTGGAGTGAGCAGATAGGAGCCATCAGGAGTGAAGGTGAGCCKGCGGAAAAACGACTTCATGCTGTCATCGTGAAACATCCGAAAGCTCCTCGCCTGCAACATGGAAAACAGGATTGAGGGAAGGGCCAAAAATGTGCCAGCTGGAATCCCAGCGAGACAAAACATCCACTTGGACAACCCAACCTAAGGGAACTTTTCAAATAAAACGTTTTAAAAGCCATGGCTCCTTCAAGCTCGCTGTAAATTCTTCACAGCTAAGAAAAATAGTCCTTGATCCCTCTTGAGCTGCAAAGCAAAACATTCCCAGAGCTGTCACCTTAAACCAGTCATCAAAAAATAGTCATAACCTGGAGAACAACATTATTTAACACCCAGTGTTCCTCAGGCATTTTGTTTTAAYTCCAGGATTAGAGGCTGAAAGAGAACTTCTCTCATGGCAAAGTGCCCGCTCTCAGGCCTGTTCTTCAGTCCCTATAAAACTGTTACAAATGCAATCCCCCCCAAAAAAAAAGTAATGAATAGAAGGAATTAATAGTTACAGCCAGCTTGGAGGTGTTATTTTACTATCACTTACAACTGTTTGGGAGGAAAAAAGCTCTTTTTTTTCCCTCTTAGAGTTATAATTTCCTAACTTCATATTTTTCTTAAAAATCAGACTACCTTCTTGAAAATTCCAAGTATGTTAACTTTAAAATATTATTGCTACGACACATCCATTAATAAACTTACAGCTACTGCCAGGTATGTTTGAAGTTCTTCCTGTTAAGAATGCAGACTATTTTTTTCCACATTATTTTGAATTTTTACAACTATGGGAYTGTGCTGTTGCTTTAATCAGCAGGAAGTTTTGGGGATATGGTTTTGAGGTGATGATGGTGAAACTGGATGAGACTGAAGGCCTCTTCCAGCCTGGATGGTTCCGTGATTCTGGGACATAGGARTTATCTGAATGGAAAATAWTAAATYGTTTGGTTCCAKGGAACAGAAAGCTGATATAAAATAGGACCCAGCAGAGTTCCCAGTAGCAGAACCACAAACCTCTCCTTCAGCTCCTGATCCTGATGGCATCTTGGTGACATTGAAGGCCACTCGCTTSGTTTGWGTGTTGTAAACCCGCAGGACCCTGGGTGGGAGAGCAGAGTCAGCCAAATTATGGAAWGGTTCCAGCTCCAATCCCTTTCCAGGGACACTTCCCACTGTCCCAGGCTGCTCCCAGCCCCAATGTCCAGCCTGGCCTTGGGCACTCAAAGGGATCCAGGGGCAGCCACAGCTTCTCTGGGCACCCTGTGCCAGGGCCTGCCCACCCTCCCAGGGAACAATTCCTGCCCAATATCCCATCTGGCCCTGCCCTCTGGCACTGGGAAGCCATTCCCTGGCTCCTGGCCCTGCAGCCCTTGCAAATTGTCTCTCTCCATGGTTCCTGTGGGCTCCTTCAGGCCCTGCAAGGCCACAATGAGCTCAGCCCAAAGCTTCTCCTGTCCAGGCTGAACAATCCCAGCTCTCCCAGCCGTTCCTATGAAGAGCTTCCTTTCACCCCAAGTTTCCCAAAAATGTCCCAGGATCTCTCTTTTCAGTAAGCACCACAAAATATAAATTTGGACAACCAAATAACCAGTAATTAAAATTCTCCTCACGGGACACCATCACAGGGATGTGTCTTATTGACTAAATAACCAATGAACCCCTGGTAATGCTTTAACTCCATAGAGTTTGGGCTGTCCCAGCACATGGATTTGTGGAGGAATGAGGGAATTAGGAAACAGGAAACTGCCAGGGTGTTCCTACCTGAACTGTGAGTTCCTGAAGAGTGGGAACTCAACTTAATGACCATTAGCTACATCTCCATCASTCATAAAATCATRGAATGGTTTKGGTTGGAAGGGACCTTAAAGATCATTTAATTCCACCCCTGACCATGGGCARGGACACCCTCCACTATCCCAGGGCACTCCATCCTAAATTAATTTTTTAGCTCATTAACAGGAGCATGCAGCACTCTTAAGATACAATTGGTACCAATAATGACCAATACATGAAAACTTAATTCSTGAAGAAAAATTCCTACAAAAGTTTATTTGCTGCTAAGAGAGACCTCAGGAATCATTACCACAAGCCAGAAATTAACTAAAGTATCTTTTTAGTTTCACATCAACCTGCTTAGAGAACAAAATGAGTAAAACAAAACCTTACACTCATCCGGTACACTTCCTTTTAATTCATCCTCCAGGAAAAAGGAATATTCAGGAAAAATATCTGGACCAAGAGCTCACCTGTCACAACTCAGGGTTGCAATATACTGGCCTAGAGGATCCCAGGTTACTCCTTGGACATAACTCTTGTGTTCATTAAATATTGAAACTTTCTGCCCTGAAATTACAAAAAGCTTTCAGATCATAAATTCAAATGTGTTTCCAAACATTTCAGAAATAAAACAAGACAAGAGAATGCTTTAAAACATCAAGAATTTTTTTTTTAATGTAAAAGTGTTAACTGGATGGTGGCTGATAAGAATGTCAGAAAAAGTTGCTTTTTAAGTGCCAGTTTAAAGCTTGTTTGCTATAAATTCAATCAGATAAGCAAAGGCAGGACCTCTCTGACCCCGTTAATGTTCCACATGTAAAGCTCTCAGAGCCAAAATATTGATGAGATAAAGTTACAGAGAATTTTAGAAATATTTTGTTGAATACTGGTCACAGGTGGGATTTTTCCTATTATTTAAGTGTTGCTTTCTTGCAAAGAAATACCAGAAGCTGACAAGGTTCAAAGAAAATAAACAGCTTTTCAAAAAGATAATACAAACAGAGTTGAGACTATGCTGCAAAACACCAAAAAGAGGGTAAGGAATGTACAGGATGTTTGCGCATGAGTTTGTGGGGGAAAAATGTGTGAAGTTATTTCCTAAATACTCCAAGGAGAATAGATAACTTAGGTGTAAATTTTGTTGGCCTGAAAATATCTTTATATCCATACACAGCAGAGCCTCACAATCCCAGAAAATCACAAAAAAATTCCATCACAACAAAAGATGTTTCYGATTTTTTTGGGAAATACCATGAGGCACTTCCACCTGATCTGGAATTCCTGGAATTTTGCAGCATTTACCTTTATTAACATCCCACATGATTGCTGTGTTATCTACAGAAGCAGAGGCCATGTAGTTTCCATCTGAGGTCCAACAAATATCATACACATCTTCCAAGTGACCTCTAGAAGGCAGAAGAAACCARTTATTAATTTGGAATTTAAAAGCTATGTGTAAACTTAAGTTTTACCTATTTTTAGGTTAAAACAAAAGAATCAGAGGCAAATAAAAACTCATGCTGGTGATTCAAGCACTTCTGAAACTTTCTCACATCAACTTCAGCAGCTGCCAGGAACTACTCCTTCAACTTAAAACCATTGTCTTCCCTGTTTAAAATGTCCCTCTCTCTCCTTTTTCTGAGCCCCATTAAAAGAGGCTTAAAAGAATTAACATAAAACCAAGAAAATTGTAGAGAGTACTGAAGTTTTAAACACCCTGAAGACAGCACCACATGATAAATGCCACTGGGGGAAACAAACGCACTGCAGAGAAAAACAAACTCAACAAATAATTAAGTTACCTTAAAGTTTTAATGACTGCCCAGTTCTCTTTGTTGAGCTGAGCTTCATCTTCATCCTGAAAAACCAATGGCTCCAACTCTTTGCTGTCATTCAGCTTCCACAGCAAAATAACAGCATCTGTAGAGCAAATCAGAGGCAGCTTTTTTCCTTCCCACTCTTTTTTGTTCATACAAAATGTAATGTCGGTGGATTTCATTTAGTTTAACTTCATAATTCTCTGGGATRAGCCAGAGAAGAAGCAGCTCTCACCATCCCCTCCGGAGGCCAGGATGTCCCCGCTGGGAGAGAAGCGCACGACRTTGACGGCCTTGGTGTGGCGGGCCAGGTTGGACAGGAATTCCACAATGGCTTTTCCATCTGGGCCTTTCTCCACTTTCCAGATCTATTGTTACAAGAGTGTTACAAGGAGGACAAAATCTGATGTCACAGGATTGTCAAGGCAGGAAATGACCTTTGGGATCAGCCAGTGCTACCCCAGCCCCAGCAGCATCACCCCAAASCCTGTCCCCAAGGGCCACATCCAGACTCCTCCTGAGCACTCCCAGAGACAGGGACTGCACCCCCTCCCTGCAGCTCATTCCAAGGCCTGACCACTCTGACAGGGAAATTTGCTTTTCCTAATACCTAATCTGAACTTCTGGGGAAATTTGAGGTCATTTCCTTGTTTCTTTTCACTTGGGAACCCAGCAGAAGAGTCTGACCCCCACCTCACYGCCCGCTCCAGCCAGGGAGCATCTTTCATGTCAAAGACAACTGACATTTTTCCAGACCTAAAACATGTAAAAAAAACCCCTGAAACACCTGCAACATCAGGGAAGAAGAGGTCAATTTGTCAGTGAGGAAGGAAAAAGTTTTATCTGAGACAACTTAAATAAACTGCAACAGAGACTATTTACAAGAGTATGTAATGACAAGGGGGTGTGGCTTCAAACTGAGAGAGTAGTTTAAGATTGGATATTAGGATTAAATCCTTCCCTGTGAAGGTGGGCAGGCCCTGGCACAGGGTGCCCAGAGAAGCTGTGGCTGCCCCTGGATCCCTGGTAGTGTCCACCGCCAGACTGGACATTGGGGCTGGGAGCAGCCTGGGACAGTGGGAGGTGTCCCTGTCCATGAGGGGATAATATAGGATGATCCTTAAGTCCCTTTCCAACCCAAACCACCTGATAATTCTGCAGACAGCTGTACAATCTTACACTCTTTCCCCAAACCATCCGTCCCCCTGTG